GTCATAATAGGGCCAAGTTTGACGACCCCTGAGATATACTTTCCTAAGACCACTCATGCTAATACAAATCTGTGCCACCATTTGATTTACATTTTACAATGAGGTGTGAAATCTATACAAGACACCTGACATGTTTCTCACTGACAAAGTTCTCTCAAACCTGACACCTGGTGCAGCCATGTTTACCATCCCCAGAACCTGAGCCAATGAGAGAGCAGTTTTTACTTCTTCCTATTTTGCATTCCTCTCGTAGCCTAGCAACAGCACGGAAAGCAGCCTAATGTGCAGGTAGGAGAGGAGGGAAAGAAAATAAGCAACAAGGTCTATGGGTTTGTGAGAATGGGTTTTGGAGGGAGTAACCCTAATATTGGGCCTGGCCGGGTTTGTAACAGCACAAATAGAGGGGTGACAGTTTAAGTGTATCAGGAGGGAGGGAGGAAGGAAGGCTGGAAAGAAAGAGGAGAAAGGAAGATGGAAGGGAGGAAGGAATAAGGGAGGGAAGAAGATTGGAAGGAAGGAGGGAAGGAAGGAAGGAGGAGAAAGGAAGGAAGGAATAAGGGAGGGAAGATTGGAAGGAAGGAAGGAAGGAGGGAAGGAAGGAAGGAAAGAGGGAAGGGAGGGAGGGAGGGAGGAGAAAGGAAGGAATAAGGGAGGGAAAATTGGAAGGAAGGTGGCAGGGAGGAGGGAGGGAAGGAAGTTGGAAGGAGGGAGGGAGGAAGAAGGAAGCAAGATTGTAAAGAAGGAGGGAGGGAGGGAGTGAGGAAGGAAGGCAGGAGAAAGGAAGGAAGGAGGGTGGAAGGCAGGAGAAAGGAATAAGGGAGGGAAGATTGGAAGGAGGGAAGATTGCAAGGGAGGGAGGGAGGAAGAAAGATTGTAAAGGAGGAAGGAGGGAGGAGAAAGGAAGGAAGGTGGAAGTAAAGAAAGAAGGGAAGGAAGGAAGGTTGGAAAGGAGAAGGGAGGGCAGGGGAGCCACTTCCTTCCTCCTAAAGCGCCTGGCAGCCCAGCCCTCCGCACCCATCCCAGCGACTTGGGCAACCCCCAAACGTGTCTTGGGGAGGGGGCACCCAGCAGCCCTCCGATGAGGGTGTGTTTGGGGGGGCGGGGCAAATATCAGCAACACCCTTGCAGGANCCCCTCCCTCCCTCCCCCCCCCGGAGAGAACGGGGTCTTGCATGGGGGGGGCTCCAGCCGGAGGAAACCCCCAGCTGCGGCCATAGCATGAGGAATCCGGCCAGTAAGAACAACCCTAATGAGGAGGGGGCGACCCGATGCTGCGACCTCCGCCCAGCCCGGCCCCTCCACTCACTCCCCATGCTGGCGGAGGTCGGACCCGGCGCCTTCGGGCTGGCGGGCGGCGGCGGCTGCAGCAGCGGCTCCCCTTCCCCGCCTCCGGCCTCCTCGCCGCTGCGGAGGCTGCCGGCCTCCGCCCACGTGACCAGTGATGTCTTACGCGGCGCGACGAGCAGGGGAGGGTCGCGCCTCTCCGCTCCCGCTAGAGAGGGCGGCTGGACCGAACCAACGCGGCCCAAGTGCGAGGGGAGCGATTTCTCATCGACGCACCCCCCCCTCCTTCCCGCTTTGGATGGGCGGTCTCCTCTCCCGGGGAAAGGAAGGGCGCGCGCCAGCCTTTTTGCAAGCAGGCAGCGGGTACAGCTGCTCCTCGGTTTACAACATTTCCTTTTAGTGACCGGTTCAGAGTTACAAAGGGCACGCAAGCCCTTTGCAAGCAGGCAGTCCTCGACTTGCATCAGTTTGTTTAGTGACTGCCCAGAGTTACAACGGCACTGAAAAATGTGACTTACACCCGTGTTTCACACTTACAACCGTTGCAGCATCTCCATGGTCACGTGATCAAAATTCAGACGCTTGGCAACCGTCCCATAGTTATGATGCTCATGGGGTCCTGGGGTCATGTGATCCCTTTTGTGACCTGATAAATGTCAATGGGGGAAGCCAGATTCATTTAACAATTGTGTGACTAACTTTATTTCCTACAGTGATTCGCTTAACAACTGTGGCATGAAAGGTCGCAAAATGGGGCAAAACTCACTTAACAAATGTGTCACGTAGCGATGCAAATTTGGGGCTCAACTGCTGTCGTAAGTCCAGGACTACCTGCCTTGTGCCTGGCTGGGGATGATGGGAAGGGGTGTCCAGACCCTTTGGAGGCAGCAAGGTGTGCATTGTCTTTCTTGAAGAGGGAAGATCAATCAATCAATCAAAATAGATCTGGAAGGGACCTTGGAGGTCTTCTAGTCCAATCCTCTGCTCAAGCAGGAGACCCCATACTATTTCAGACAAGTGACTGTCCAATCTCTTCTTAAAAACCTTTGTGGGTGTTGTGGGTGATGAAGCACCCACAACACAACACCCACAACCTCTGAAGGCAAGCTTCACCATTAAAATGTTTCTCCTTAATCCCAGGTTGCTTCTCTCCTTGATTAGTTTCCATCCATTGTTTCTTGTCTTGCCTTCTGGTGCTTTGGAAAATAACTGGACTCCCGTCCTCTTTGTGGCAGCCCCTCAGATATTGGAAGATTGCTCTCATGTATCTAGCACGAGTCCAAAAGCTCAAAAGACAAAACCTCTGGGTCTCAGTGACCAACCCAGATTGGATCCTGCAACTTCATTCTGGGACAAGTAGATTCGCCTTCACTGCTATCCTGTCTCCCCTAGTCTGGGGTAGGCAACCCAAAACACTCAAAGAGCCACTTGGACCAGTTTCCCACCGAAAACAAAACATTGGGAGCCGCAAAAGCTAGCTCAGGGGTAGGCAACCTTGGCTCTTTTATGACTCATGGACTTCAACTCCCAGAATTCCTGAGTCAGCATAGCTGGATGAGCTAGCTCTCTCCTGTTCTTCCTGCTTCCTGCAGAGACGCAGCAAAGGGAGGAGCCCCGCCAAATAAGCTTGTCAGCTCGTTGAACAGGGTGAGGCCACTCTCTTTTTTACACACACACACACACACACACACACACACACACACACACAGAGGGGGGGAGCGCAAGTGCCTGTCTCTCTCTGTCTCTGCAAATGGCAGAGGAAGCTGGGAGGCGCAGGGGAAGGCTCAAAGAGCCGCATTTGGCTCCGGAGCCGCAGGTTGCCGACCTGTGCCCTAGTCCTTCTTTTCTTTAAACTAGACATACCCAATTCCTGCAACCGTCCCTCATGTTTCAGCTGAACGAGAGGAAGGAATGGGACTGGCTGCATCAGATGAAACAAGGATACCCCTGTTTTGTGCAGCATCAAATGCGCTTTTTTCTAAGGTGACCAACTGTCCTCCTTTAGGGAGGAAAGTCCTCCTTTTGTAGGTTCTCTCCTCCCTCGAAAAGTATCCTCCTTCACGTCCTCCTTTTCGATATGTGAAGACTAATCTGCAGGGCTTTTTTTTTTCATAGAACGCTCAGAACGGCGTTCCGGCACCTTTTTTTTGATGGGTTTTTTTTTCAACTTTTGCATGAGCTGTGCTACTCTCGCTATTGGCTTTCGAAAGCCAATAGGAATTGCTGCTGAGCACGCCAAAACACCCGGCTGGCAAACTTTGCACATGCAAGTTGTCTGTATTATTGTTGCAATGAATAAAATGTTTCTTTTATTTACGATATTTTTTTCTTCAATTTATTTGTGTCCTCCTTTTCAGTGTAAAAAAGTTGGTCACCTTATTTTATTTTTTCAAAATAAAAATTTGCAAAGAGGGTCTTGGTTGGGGTCTTCCTGCCCATTTGCAAATTCGTCATCCCATCGCATCCCGTTTTTACAGTCATTTTATTTTCTCAGCATACAATTGTCAGCTATGTTTCATTCATTCATTCATTCATTCATTCAATACATCTCACTTGGGGGGGCTCACAAAGTTAAAAATGCATATAAACAAACAGCAAAAAAACAACAGTAACAAAACCCAGGGGAAACGCATTACATCCAATTGAAAAGCAAACTGTAAGCGTAACATAAAACATATCTCTAGAAAGAGTCTCTGTTCTGCTCTGAATCATAACATCTTTGTGATCTGGTGGCCCTGCCTTCCTCCGTGGCATTAAGCTTCTCCTCCTTTATTTATAAAGAAAAAAAGACTTTTATCTGTTTCTGAGTCTGAGAGGAAAAAAAAACTACCTAGCAAATTAACTTTTTTTACCCTCGGCTGCAAGTTCAGTAAGCAGAGTGGCAGTGCCTTAACTTTGATATTTACAACCTTCCTGGTATTTACAACTTGGTGCCTAAAGAAAGAATCCGGAAAGATAAAAAGACTTGAGTCTGAAATATAAATCAGCAAAACTGGGAAGAAAAAATGGTCTTCTGGCTTTTTTTGCAAGGTGGGGGTAAATAAATAAATAAATTCAGGAAGGGGACCATCAATCTGACTTTCTATTTTGGAAGCAAACAGATAATGCCAGCATGGCAAATTTTGTTTTCCTCCAATATGTGTTTAGACAGTCCTCTATTTACAGCCACTTGTTTAGTGACTGTTTGAGGTTACAACAGCACCTCATATATTTTATGCCTGGGACAAAAAAAAAAAGAGAGAGAGAGAGAGACAGAGTCAGCTGTAGGACAAGTTTTCTGCTTATCAGACATAAAAAACCAGCTTTTTATTATTAAAATAAGAGAAAGATTCAAGACTCCAGGTAACTTTGATATTTCAGTTTTATTACAGTGGCGTACCTTGATATTCAAGGCCATCTCTTTGCTTCCCTCTCAAAAAGAGTCACAACCAACAACAACAGTAAAGCTAGTTTTTCTTCAAGCAGAAAACAGAGCCATTTGTCAAGGATGCTTTAACTTGGAACTTTTTTTTTTGTTAAGCAGGAGTTGGATTTGGTGGCAATTTTCAATTCAAGAACACTGTTCAAATCGCATTTTACCCTGCAGAGAGTTGTCTTTGCCCTGGTGGCCCTTTCTTCTTATCCAAACTTAAATCATCCTTGAGAAATTCCTTTCAGCCCCAAATCAGTAAAGTTACAAGGATTTCCAGGATCAGATCTTTCAAGGCAATAAAGAAACATAAAATGCATTTGGATAGTGCTATAAAAGTTACTTTGGAAACGTGAAAAGACTTGAAAAGAAATCAGTGTCACAGTTCCTAAAACATTTCGGTTGCAGGTACAGAAAGTGCAATTAAGACATTCAAAGCAAATCAAATCAAAGAGGAAGATGTGATATTTCCCACCCCCATTATTTCATAATACAGAATATCAATTTATAGATGTGAGAACAGAACCTGCTATAATTCATCCAACAATTGCAGTTTTCAATTTATTTTCCCTCTATTTCAAATCTTCTCAAAAAAAAAAAAAATCTGGGTATGTGATTGATAAGACTCAACATTGACTAGATGGCCAAAGAATCTTTCATAATCAATTTCAAATCTAAGGAATTAGCAAAGATAATGCTGAAAATGTTTCTGCTTTTGGATCATTGATGGAAAATGTATGGCTTCATATGTAAGTATATAATAAAATAAATTTAAGGCTGGCACGTAGCACTTAGATCTATAGAAGACTTACATTTGTACACAAAAAATGTATTTTTTGGGGGGTGAGAATTGTTCAGCAACATTATTCCACTGTCTAGAATCCAAAATGACATAGCCCAGATTTATTTATTTTTTATTTTCATAAAGTAGGCCTATGTAGCTTTTAAAAGATGGTTAAAGTGCACACATATAACAGGACTTGTTTTAGTAATAAGAGCCATATGTACAATAATCCCTGTATTTAAAGTTTCCCTGATTTAGTATGGTTTACAAATACCTAGCATTGTTCTGAAAAGTAAATCAACTGTAATAAATACTTTCTTTTGCAGTATCAGAAAAAGCTACTTTAATTCGAGAAAGTCATCCTGGGGTTTTGTTTTTTTTATGGTGATGATGACTAATGGAAAATACCTAACTCCTGCAGTTTGACTTGTAATGCCACAGGCAAGCACTGTTGCATTGTTAATACAATTTAAGAACTTCCATAACAATCATTGATTAAGTGATTAAAAATGTCGGTCTGTTCCTCACACTCACCTATCGGTGCAAACCAGAGCAATGTAAACACGTTTAAATCCCATGAATTTGCATTGGCAGAATTGTAGGCAATTGTTTACATCTGTAGGAAAAGGAATAGGAGACTCCATTTTAACTCTGGTTCGGCCAAATTCATTTTCAGCAGCATACCTCAAGAGCAAAGATTCTTTCCAGTTTTGGATTCTTGTTTTCCTGGCCTCGTTGTAACGCCCAAAGTCCCACTGCAGGTTAAGTCTCAAGCAAATGTTTCGGTAAGGAGATTTTGCTGCTGTTGCTGATGCAGAACACCGATGCCCACGGCGGGAGCTGGCAAGGCGGGTCGACTTACAAGGCAGAGCTGGGAAGAGGTCAAAAGAGGCAGCATTAGAGCCTGGGCCCATTTTTTAACAGGATTAAAAAGATGCCGAAGATTCAGGCTTGGAATTCCGCAGCCAGCTCCTCAGATTCACACGCTACGGTGGACGGGCATCACAATTCTGCACAGTGAGTGGGTGTAAAATTCATCCTCTCTGTTTCAGCTTCTCTGCAACTTGAGTAGCTGGGCATGGAACAGGGCCACAGCCAAACTGAATGCAGGATTCTAACACCATAGAGATAGTCCTCGACTTACAACAGTTCATTTAGTGACCATTCATAGCTGCAACGGCACTGAAAAAAGCGATTTAGGACTGATTTTTATACTTAACGACCGTGGCAGCAGACCTTGGCAACTTGATTCATATTTATGATGGTCGCAGTGTGTCCCCTTTTATAACCTTCTAACAAGCAAAGTCAATGGGGGAAGCCAGATTCACTTAACAACCGTATTATTAACTTAACATCTGTAGTTGTTAAGTTAATTTAGCAACTGTAGCAAGAAAGGTCATAAAATGGGGCAAAGCTCACTTAACAAATGTCTCTCTTAGCAACATACATTTTAGGCTCAATTGTGGTCGTAAGTCGAGGACCACCTGTAACTTAACAACTGCAGTGACTTGCTTAGAAAGGTTGTAAAATGGGGCAAAACTCGCTTAGCAACACAAATTTGGGGCTCAGTTGGGGTTGTAAGTCAAGGATTACCTGTACTGCGTTAAAAAAAATCTAGGAACTATACCAGGGGTAGGCAACCTTGGCTCTTTTATGACTCGCGGACTTCAATTCCCAGAATTCCTGAGCCAGCATGGCTCAGCTTGGAAACCTCTCCCTTTCCCCTCAGCATGGCTGGCTCAGGAATTCTGGGAGTCGAAGTCCATGAGTCATAAAAGAGCCAAGGTTGCTTACCTCTGAACTATACTAATAG